TGTGCAGTGCGTGTAATACTAAACTAGACAGTGTTCGGAGAATGGGAAAGAAATGCCCATAGAACTTGCAGGATTTGTTTGAAAAAATAAAAGAACTCATGAAGAAATTTATGTAAATGATTCTAAGAATGTCAGAGAAAGGGGTTCACCATAAACAGGAGGAAATGCATTTCCCACGGGCAGTGTGACTATATAGGAAGCGGCTAGGAAGTGGCTTGAAAAAGCACACTGGACCCGTGGCGGTGATTTAAAGTGGGTTAATTTCATTTCAAGAAAATACCACTATCGTCACATTAATGATGCATACACGATGCTGAAAAATACGGGTTTACATTCTTAGAAAGTTCTACCAAGGAGATAGTAAAGGGCTAATTTAGACACACACACACACACACACACACACACACACAAGCACAACCACGGGCAGTCTAACCACAGGCAGTGAAAGTTTCCAAGTTTAAGGAAGGGGTTGGGAAACAATTAAGCTGGGGGAAACCTAGCAGGTGCTGGGAGAATAATGCAATTTCCTAGGGCAGCAGATGTACAAGTGAAACAGTATCCAGTAACAGTCCATCAGATGGTAATTATAGCCGGGCTGGAGAAGACCAGATGAAAGGGGCAATTCAAAGGGTAACTGAAAGCCGGCGAGTGACATCTTCCAGGGAGATCACATACCAGGAAAAAGCGGGCCAGCACTTAGCTCCAAGAAGGGGGGGTTAAACAAACCGTCATTTTTCTTTTGTAGAAGGACAAAGGGAAAACGGAGGCTTCAGACAATTCATTCGTCGAGATTGAAACAGACCGTCACTAATAAACAACTACGAAAAATACCAGCGGGTGCTGATCACTCTGACTGTGCGAGCGCTGGGATGATGCTGTCATCTGGGAGGCGATGGATTGATGCGGCCCAAAAATTTTTTGAAAAAAAAAAGGAGAGCTGAGTTCACACTGGAATTCCACACTACTACAGACCAAGATAGGGAACTCCAGCCACTCGAGAGGATGGTGGCGTGCACGGGTCCACACTGACGCGAGCAGGTTCCCGGGTGTTTAATAACACGAGGAAGAGCCATTTAAAATCCTGGGCTCGGAAAGGAAACAGTGTCTTGGACCAGACACAGCCCTTCCCAAGGGAACAGGTCTACCCTGAGTGTGAGCTTCCTCCCGAGTCTGTCTCTGGCTCCCGGGGGCTGGTGCAGCCCCCTCGTACCCCTGGTTTAACCAGCCCCGAACGGTTCCACATCAATACTGACGCTGGGCCGTAAGGTCCCCGAGCGTGGGGACCCTGTCACAGCCATCTCTGAATCCTTGTGGGGGAGGCAGGAAGAAAAGCGTGCCAGCTGGCACACAGAACCCCCCCAAAGTAAGTGCAGGTCAACCCACTCCACTGACTTTCATCAACACGGCCACTCAGGTCACTCAGCCAAAGTCTGTGTATTTCCCTGACAACAGTTTCTCATGCAAGTGGGCCACGCTGATTCACGTCACAAAAAATTCCCACCAGAATACTGCTCAGAGCGCAAATGTGCAGCCCAAGACAGCACACTGAGCTAAGCGACGAGCCTTCCAGGTCCACTGCACGTGGGTCCTGGTCAGGAGGAAGCCTTCCCCCACCCGCGAATCGCTCCTGGTTGCCCGTGAGCTGTGAGGAACCTGCAGGCCCGCCTCTGCAACGTGTGATGAAAATCATTCGCACGTTTTCCGGGTCCTTTCCTGGGGCCCGGTATGGAGTGGGCTGTCAATCCATAGGCACGATCGGGAAGGTTTTGTGGCAGGGACCCCCCAGCCTGCCAGCCCGGCAGCAGCTCCCGGGCCTTGGGGTGGGAGGGGGCATATGTCCCGGCCATGCGGTGATGAATTTCAATCACTGCTGGCTTGTGCCAGATTCAAATTGGCAGCCCACCGAGATGAAACGCGTTCTACCCCATTACTCACGCCTGGAGTGCTCTGTTCCCTGGAGGACTGGCTTCTTAGGCGAAAGCAATGGAACGGACGGTCAGTCAGAGATGGTTTAAATGGGATGAGACGTATGAAAGGCCAGCGCCCAGGAAGAGAAATGCGCAGACGTGTGAGGGAGCCAAGGTTCCTGTATGAGCTCCAGGTCCTGGCGAGTATAAACTTACAGGGAAAAAAGGAACTCCTTTCGTAAGGCAACCGCTCAGCCTCACCCAGCCCAAAGGCTGTGCTGCTGTCTGCTCTGCTCAAAATCAACGCGTTTAAGACCCTCCATAAATTCCTCCTAAAAATGTCCTATTTGGCTCACCTTGTCCCAGATAATCAGCCTAAAACATTAAATCCACCTAAAATGTTTTCTAAAATTTAAAATAATAATAAACCATGGTTACCAAAGGGGAAAGGGCAGATTGGAATACATCAGGGGCTGGGGGCTAACAGACACACACTACTGTACACAAAATAGATAAACAACAAGGACCTACTGTGTAGCACAGGGAACTGCATTCAGTTTCTTATAATAACATGTAATGGAAAAGAATCCGAAAAGAAAAAATATATATATGCATGTGTATGTATAACGGAATCACTGTGCTGTACTCCTGAAACTAACATTGCAAATCAACTACACGTCAATCAATTTTTTTAATTTAAAATAGTACAATGTAGCGTTTTAACTTTTGAACGTCTAGGCTCATCCCATGTGGATTATGCTCTTGACAATCCTTTGGGTAAACTTTTAGGATTTCTAACATTCTCACTAGGTCTTGTTCACTAAATCGGAACCTTGACTAAAACCTTCTCAAGAATGAGCACGACACGCAGCAGTGAAGCTTCCCGCAGAGCCCGGCTTCGCCAGTGTGGCAAGCAGCACGGCCACAGCCGCGGCCCCAGCGCCAGCCCCGCCCGCTGCCAGGGGGATGTCTTCCTGGAGCCCGGATTTAAAAAGCACGCTCCTCTATGTCTTGAAATACACTGGGGCTGTGGGCACACAGCACACAGAGGTGACCACGGGGAAAAGGGTTTTAAATGTTAGCAATGATTTCAACTCAGAACAACCTGGGAAGTAATGATCAGATCGTTGTCAATGCAACATGTTTTCTCTGGGTGGTGGTGGGAGATTCCTGAAGTTCAGGAAGGCTGCTCCTGATCCCCACTGGGCAGCCCTGTCCTGCTCCCCATCCCTCCAGCCACGCCACACATGCCCCCGAGGACCAGCAGGAGGCTCTCAAGCCATGGGCTGCCCCGGGCGTGTAAGGGCTTCTCCTGACCCAGCGGATGGTCTCTCCTCCCTGAAGACAACTCATCAGTGGCTGCAAGAGGGCAGCATCGCTCACGCAGAAGCCGCGACCCCTGCTTTGTACCCACAGCCCCTTCCCTGGGATCAGCACGACGCCCCTAAGCTGTGTTTCGGGGACTGACACAAATGAAGCCACGCTCCCCGACCCCTACCCACTCTTGTGGCTCTCACCCCGAAAGAGTCCACCCCCAGGATCTCCACACACCAGCAGACCCCCCGGGGGCCTGCCCCACGGTCCTCCAGATGGACCGCCTTTTCACCTCTAGACCGGATAGAGCGTGAGCTGTGATGCTGGGGGCCCGCTACCAAGGACACGCCTGTGGTCCCAGATGGAGTGACACGCATCTGGGCATTACTTCAAAATGACAAGGCAGGAAGGGGAAGTGGGTGGGGGCATAGAAGATCCAAAACCGGCCAAGAGTTGCACACTGTTGACTCTCGAGTGCCGAGTCCCGGGGAGTCTCTGGGCTGAGATGCGCCCCCTCTGCGTTCAGATGCTTTTGAGCAACTGGACAGAGTGATGCTGTGTCTGTTAAACCTAATGATGAAACACCAGACTTGAATTCTGCCTTTGCCTTTAAAGCTCCTTTTTTAGGAATCCACGTTTCACAGAACTATCAGGCTACGAGGGATTGTACGTTTAAAAAAAGCAGAAGAAGAAAGGTCCCTCAGCACAGACAGAAGGAGAAGCCTGGCTTCGCAGGACTCTCTATTATCCTCCGTTTCCCATTTTCCATCATTAAGAGTTGGAGAGGGAAGCAGAATTGTTTGGTTTTGGTCTCTACTCACATACAAATTTAGCATTTATCAGAAAATAAAAATAAATGTATTTTTGATTTTCCAGATATAAAGATAAATGTAGGACTTAGAGCAGCCTGGTCACAGCGAGCAGCACGTGGGTCTCGGTGGGAACGCCGCCCCCCAGGACGTGAGGCGGGAGGGGAGCGGGCAGCGGGACGACCACGTCCTGCGCGCCCCACCCCGGGGCTGCGGTGGGTTGTTGATCTCAGAGCCCCGCACCCAGCGCTGCTCAGCGGCTCCTCGACTTTCCGCCTTCCTCTCCTCCCCTTCACCAAGGATAAACGTCAGCCCACGGAGGGATGTTTTTCCTCCCTTGGTAAGTGGCGGTTACACAAACTGCACACGCCTCCGTGTGAGTCCACCCGACAGTCGCGTTTCCAGGGACGCCGCTGAGCACGGCTGCGTGTGCCCACGGCACATCCACCTCCATTTGAAGCGGAATCTACGGTGGGTTTCCGTCCCTCCTGCTCTGGAACCGAGTGCCCCGGGCCGTGCATTTTCAGGCCACCTGCGCCCAGGGCGGCGGATACGCTCCCCGCGGAGCAGTTAACGGATGGCGCCCAGGACTCAGACCCGCAGGTCCTCAGGGCAGCCAGCTGTGTTGTGTCAAACCCTGAAAGCGAGGCACGAGGGAAAGGGGTGTGGCGGTGGAATCTGCTTTTGACAAAGGGGTAAACACCAGAACGGTGCCGGGAGGTGGGCTCCACACGGAGGCGTCCCCGCGGGGAGTGTCGCCAGGGACCCCTCGGCTCCTGCTCCGGGCGCGCGCGGGGAAGGAGCCGCCGCCGGAGGGAAGGGGCCGCGGGGAGCCCGGGGCGGGGGCGCCCCCAAGGCAGGCGCGGGGGATGCAGGAGCAGCCGCCCGTCGCGCGGGCAGCGCCGCCCCATCTGCCACGCCCGCCCGCGCCGGCTCCGCGCCGCCCCGCCTGCTGCCACCGGCTACCCACCGCGTCCTTGGAGACCTCCTTTGATGGAGCGTTGGTGCCAAGCTTTTCCAGAGGGTAGACAATCTGTCGTCGCGGCCGCACGGGAACCAAGTAATGCAGGGCGGACGTCAGCGAGCGCGCGCCGGAGCGCTGGACCTGCGAGAGGCGAGCTCGGGTTCAGGGCGGAGGCTGCGGGCGCCGCGCGCACAGATGCCGAGCGCGGCTCTGCAAACACACGACTGCGCACCCGGCCAGCCCCGAGAGGTGGGGGGACCGGCAAATCAACAAACACACGCTCCGCGCAGAGGAATGAATCGTAGATAATGCCTGACACTAATGAAGATAATTACGAGAGTAATTGCATTACTATCTCTGCGGGAATGACAGATAAACAAGTGGTTTGGTTTATGGGATTTTTCAGCACGAGTATTTCCCCCAGGAGCACATTCTTCTCCACAGTGATCATGAATCAGCTTGATTTGACCCCATTAAGCTGTGTTATCTGCGTCCTGGTAACCTTTGCGTGTTTGGCACAAGCTGCTCTGATAAAAATGTCATCAGAGGGGCAACAGAGCAGCGCAGATGTGAAAATCTTCCCGTCTGTGAAAGTCACAGCAGCTTCAGCTGGATCTTTGTGCTGAAATACACGTTTTAAAACTAAAGGATGAAACCGCAGGGCAGGGGGAGGGGAGGATGGTGGATCAGATTATTCTGATTTATGTTAATACTAAATTATGAGCCAGATTTGTGCTCGCTGAAATGGGCTACAATAAATCATACTTCAGGGGAATGCTTTAAATATGAATTTTACCC